CGCTTGTCCAGTCACAGTTACTGTTAGAGCCCGCCTCTCCGCTTCTTGCTCCCTCTCCTCACACTGGTCCTACTGGAGGTCTTAATGAGCGTCGTGAGCCTGCGTCTCGTCCCGCGTCGCCTGTTCGTGTTGCTCGCGCTAGTGGTCGCAGTTCGCGTCAGCGTCCTCCTCCTGTCCCTGGCACGCACCGGATGTCTTTGCGTCCGTCTACTGCTCCTCTGCGTGCCCCTTTGCCTTCTCCTCCTGAGTCTTCTCTTCCTGCGCTTGTCGACCCGGAGTCGGACTCTCTTCGTGCTGCCAGTCCTACTGTCACGCGTCTTCTTGCTACTGTCGTCACTGACCCCTCCTTTGAGTCCACTGCTGCGTCTGCTCTCGTTGCTGAGCTCGTCGACTTTGCTGCTCGCTGTCGTCTAGACTACGCTGCTAGTCTTGTTGCTGAGTCTGCATCTGTCTGTCCTCCGTCCGTCGGGGGTGAGTGTGCTCTTGGCACGGACGTCCTTGAGGACAGGCAGGAGGAGTTCCAGTGTCTGGCCGCTGCTTCACCTCATCTCGTATCCGTACTACTTGCCCCTGAGGGAGACCCGGATGCACTAGACATCCCGACTCCGCGCTCTTACGCGGAGGCCGTAGAGGGTCCCTACTCCTCTCAGTGGCAGGCAGCTATGGATGCAGAGATGGCTTCCTGGAAGTCCACAGGCACCTACGTTGACGCGGTTCCCCCTCCTTGGGCGAACATCGTTAGTGGCATGTGGATCTTCAGGGTGAAGCGGCCGCCGGGCTCTCCGCCTGTCTTCAAGGCGCGGTACGTCGCACGTGGCTTCAGTCAGCGGCAGGGAGTTGACTACTTTCAGACCTTCTCTCCCACCCCGAAGATGACTACTCTTCAGGTGCTGCTGCACATAGCCGCTCAGCGCGACTACGAGCTTCACTCTCTCGACTTCAGCACTGCGTTCTTGCAGGGTAGCCTGCACGAGGAGATCTGGCTGCGCCGTCCACCTGGCTTCACTGGGACTTTCCCTCCTGGCACTCAGTGGAGCCTCCGACGGCCAGTCTACGGTCTCCGCCAGGCACCGCGTGAGTGGCACGACACACTGAGGACTACGCTTGCGGCTCTTGGGTTTGCTCCCTCTACTGCTGACCCGTCGCTGTTTCTGCGCACTGACACTTCTCTACCGCCGTTCTACATCCTCGTGTACGTCGACGACCTGGTCTTTGCCATAGCGGACACTGTTGGACTCGCCTACGTGAAGTCCGAAATCCTAAAGAGACACACGTGCACAGACCTGGGTGAATTGCGCAGCTATCTTGGCTTGCAGATCACTCGGGACAAAGCACGCCGCACCATTACCTTGACTCAGTCACACATGGTGCAGCAGGTCTATCATAACACCCACCCCGCACAAGTTACCCGGGGGTGTACTCTCGGAATCCCAACCACTAGACAACTGGGATAAAAGGGCTTGTTTCAGTAGCGGGTGAGTGCGCCCATAACCCCCCAGGCCAACATGCCTGTAACCCTTCCCTAGGATCAATCGGGGATCACCAGTGGACCTCTGACACCCCCCCTCACTGGGATGCCCGAAGTGCACACACCGGGATTCGAACCCGAGACCTTCGCTCTGATACCATCTCTGAATCCCAACCACTAGACCATTGGGATAAAAGAGCTTGTTTCAGTAGCGGGTCAGTGCGCCCATAACCCTCTAGGCCAACATGCCTAGGATCAATCGGGGATCACTAGTGGACCTCTGACATGTACAATTATGGGGGGGTGTTTTGTCCGGGGGTATACGGTACATATATATGCATGAAAATGCTGTAGTATGCATATGATATGCTGAAATGCACCAAACCAGTATATCATACAAATACGTGATAGTTAACGACCCAAAAACTAGGCTACCGCATCCCCTGCCTAGCATGGGGGGGAAGTCAATAGCAAAGTCTTCGAATAATCAACTAGCACATGAAACAATACAATCTGTTAACCTTAAAAAAGAGGTTCACTCTATCAAATCCAGTTCGAAGTGGCAAACACACGAGTCACTGAGTGCGCCAATGAACCAATGAGAAATGATAGAAATGAACCCCCTTCTTAAAATTGACAGACATGCATTGATATTGCAATGACAGATGAGATGAACACACTCTCATACACCACACACACACGGATGAACACTTACAAACACACGGACAAACACAAAAGCACAGACACACAACTAATAGCAAAAAAAACCAGAGCTGCAAAATCATAATCAACAACAGTCAAAGATCTAACGACAAACAATATCCTTCTATATTCCGAAATGGCCTCGACTTCCTGGTGGTTACGACATATCACCTGAGAAGCAAATTCAAAACAAACGCGGAAAAGAATAGGGCATTAGGCAAACAGATGGGCTATTCATGGTATCGTACAAATATCCTTAGAATCTGATACCACCAAAAACAGAAATACATGAAATATTTAAGCAATAACTTCTGATGTTCATTTGGACAAAAAAAGGAGCAAAATAAGAAACAGCAGTTTAGAAGCCTTAATGAACCATCAAAGACCACAACCATGAGTACAGATATTTCAAAAAAAGAAAAACAACCAATGTAAAACTATCAGCAAGGAGGAACAAACGAGAAGAGAGAATGAATGAGATTTTAACCAGGGAATAAAATGTTCGAGAGAGAGAGAGAGAGAGAGAGAGAGAGAGAGAGAGAGAGAGAGAGAGAGAGAGAGAGAGAGAGAGAGAGAGAGAGAGAGAGAGAGAGAGAGAGAGAGAGAGAGAACGAGATTGAGAGAACGAGAGAAGAAGAAAGAACCGGAATGAACAACATACTAATAACAACGGTAAGAAACAATAAGAAACGAAGAACGGGAGAGAGAGAGAAGGAACCGAGAGGAGGGAGAACCGAGAGAGAGAGAGAGAGAGAGAGAGAGAGAGAGAGAGAGAGAGAGAGAGAGAGAGAGAGAGAGAGAGAGAGAGAGAGAGAGAGAGAGAGAGAGAGAGAGATAAGGCATAACCGATGGAGATAGAAGGAACGGTAAGAAACAATAAGAAACTAGAATAAGTGACGAAATTGAGCTAGACAAAATGGAATGAAAGAGAGGATGCAGGGCTGACGTTTCAAATTTAGGTACCCTGATGTCCACCAAAAAAAAAAAATTAACCCTGAAGGCATATTTTCCAGAAAAGCAGCACCCTGATTGCTCAGTGTTGGGAAGTTATACAGTCTGAGTGTTCAGGGTCGAGAAGTCACGATCAGGGTACGTGTAGTAACGCGCTGTGCATTATCGAAACTGAACTTTGATGGCGAATCTGTTCTGTGAAAGGGCGAATGTGCAATGTCAGATACATTTTACTGTGATTGGTCAAGACCTTTGTGCTCTGACAGCTCAAATCTGCTGTGTCAGGGCCATTTCGCTGTGATTGGGCAAATTCGTTGCTCCGTACGGCGCGAATTCGCTTTGTCAACGCGAATTTTTAATGACGCTGGTGCTGTGACCAGTCAAGACGGGTTTGACTCACCAGTTTGACCCTCACTAGTGAACCTCGGAGGTGGGTGTATCGAAAGGAAATTTCGAGGAAGCTTCCTCCCGATAAACTTGCATGCAGGGACCACAGAACGCATACTCTGTAGTGACAGACTCCAGAAATGACTAACACTGAGGCCTATTACACTGAATCAGGGGCCATAAAACAATAACTCTGAGGCTCTCAGTGATGAAAATTTGACTACTCTGGAATTCCATTTTTTACAAACTCGATGGTCTGATCCGTCAGACTAATCAGACTATTTACTCTGATAGCGTCAGCCCTGAGAGGATGATACAACAATAAGGCAGGTTGATACATCATCTTCTGGTTAACATATACGTCTAGATCTCGCTTAAAAAAAAACAAACTCTCAACCATAATCAGTTAAACTAGGACCCACTCTCAACTAGAATGAGCTTAAGAAATAGAGAGAATATGGCTTACCTTAATATGAGCACTAGTCTGGGGCGTGAGTAGCGTGAGTGACGTGAGGGACGGGAGAAGCTAGAGTGGCGTGAGTAGTTGGATGAGAAACGAAGCACAAAAGAATTTGACGAAACCCTAGGATGGGACGTTTTGAATTGCAATTGTAGTCTGTAAAGTTTAGCGCGAAAGTTGAAACAGCGTGAGTTGCAGTATAGATGTTGCGTTTCATCATGAAGGTCGTCGGATATGGTTGCTCACATAAATTTGGTAAAGCTTTTCTCTTGTTCCGTTTTGTAGTTTTGTTGTTTCCAGATTTCCAATCACCATAAAACCAAATAATCTGAACAGAATAAGAATAACTTTAACATAAAGAATGTTCTTAACATTCAAAATCTATATCCAAAACGACCATCCCTATTCATATATGTAAACCTATATTATATTTCAATGTATATGTAAATAGCAGTAGTTCATCAAATATCAAATTCATATTACGATATTATATAATTCTCATTATATGTCAAATGCATCTAAAAATTACACTGTAATGTTGCTTCGCAACCCTAAGACGATTTCGTCGCCTCTGGTTTTTTCTTGTACTCCCTGTTAGCTTCCTTCGAAGTGGACTACTGCTTCTCGTGTTCGAAATATCGCTCTTATGGTTTTCGCGTGGATCTCATCAACAGGCCAGTTTCGCCAACAGCGTCGCCACCAGCATTGCCCTTGCCTTCAATCTCGCAGAACTCCACACTCCCATTCATCCCCACACAGTGTTCTCAGATCCCTGAATCTGCCTAGCTCGAAACACTGATCTACAGCCACCCTGCTATCTTCGCACCTCCATCCCTCGGTGCCGATACCGTACTCACGTGCTCGGATCCGCCTCTGTCTTCGCGCGTCGCCCCCTCCGCCCGCCGGCTATCTGCCGCATCTGCGCGAGCTTTAGATTGATCACGGAGAACAATCCCGTCCGTCCACTCGCCCGCACGCGTACGGCTTCTTGATCGTCACGCCGCCTCTTAATTCCGCCACCGATCAGTCACGATGCAGGGCCCCGTGCTCGTTCTAAGTACGTCTTAACGTTCTTTCTTGTCAGCAGCATTGCAGGGAACGCTATGGATCCGTTTGCCTGCTCGATCTGCCCCATAGATTCCACATTTAGAGCAAAGGCGGGTGAATCTGAACGCGGCTCGGCAGTGAGCGGCGGCGAGGCGTAAGCCCGCTCCGAGCCACGCAGCGCTCGAGAGCCGTCAAATTCGAGCATTACAGTCGTCCTTCGCTTTGTCCTTTGACATCTGCGTCCTGCCCGCACTCAACAAGTCTTAGGCCGTGCTGCGTTGACGCGCGTACGATGCGAGACCAGTGGATCGATCTTGAGCCCTGGATGGCATGGCGGCCCGTGCCCAGTCGATCATCGCAGATTTGCATGCATCCACAGCTTTTGTTAAAGTCACGTTTGAGACATGCGCGAGGAAGCTGTGCATCCCAAGAGTGATTCCAATACATGCATGCACATCTTCGTCTCGCTCGCCGTGGGACCAACCAAGAGAAGAGAAGACGTTTCAGGGACGGAAAGCGGTTTGGGAGCGGGGATTCTAGGTTGCGGTGAAGATCAGATTGCGTAGAGTCGGGCGTGCCTACCGATCTAAAAAACACTTAATTACGGTGTATCTAAGGATCCCTCTCCTCCATGTCCCTCGCTCCACTCCCTTGGCCACATGCGACATGCGGCATGCGTCCCACCTTCCCTCCGTGCATTCTCTTCCGCCTTTCTCGCCTTACCCCGTCCCCGTCCCCGTCCCCGTCCCTGTCCCAGATGCGAACACGAAGCGCGAGTCGGGTCGCAAGGCGCAGCTCGGCAACATCGCGGCGGCCAAGGTGAGTTGTCAGTCGCGAGACGCGAGACGAGAGGCCCGAGGCGCGAGGCGTGAGATGCGAGAAGCAGCGATCTCGTTTCTGAGGCGTTTGGCTTCTACGCCGCGAGTCGGATCGCTGCGGCCACGATGAGATCCGGGGCGCAGGGGTTTGGCTTTGGGGTTGAATGGACGGTCGCGCGTTGGGGATTAGCCGCTCTATACGCAGCGAGCTTCGGAATGTCGCAGCCGGGTGATGGGTGGTGCGCAGCGGTTGTGATGGGGAGGGGGTGCGGAGTAACGATCCTCCCCTTCACCTGCCACCCTCCCCTTTTCCCCTGTCTTTGCACCCCTCGCGTGTGCAGGCAGTGGCGGACATCATTCGCACCACGCTAGGCCCGCGCTCCATGCTCTCCCCGTTCACCTCTCTACCTCCGCACCCTCTCTCCCGCGCAGGCAGTGGCGGACATCATTCGCACCACGCTAGGTCCGCGCTCCATGCTCAAGATGCTGCTCGACGCCACCGGAGGTGAGCGGGACGCCACAGGAGGTGAGCGGGACGCCACTGGAGGTGAGCGGGACGCCACTGGAGGTGAGCGGGACGCCACTGGAGGTGAGCGGGACGCCACTGGAGGTGAGCGGGACGCCACAGGAGGAAGTTATCCCGTGCATGATGTACCAGCTTCGTCGGGGAAACAAAAGGCCTGGAAGAGTCTTCCTGCTTGCTGTTTCCTGCGCTCCCATGATGTTTTCGTCAACTGTCGAGCTCCTGTCAATCATTCCTGTTCCTGCCACGCCATGTCATGCCATGCCGTGTGAGTCATTCACAATACTTCCATGCCAATGCATGCTGTGCGTGCGATGAATCTTTCACAACATTCTCAATCCATGCCGTGCTGTGCCGTGCCGTGCCATGCCGTGCCGTGCCATGCCGTGCCGTGCCATGCCATGCCATGCCATGCCATGCAGGTATCGTGCTGACCAACGATGGCAATGCCATTCTGAGAGAAATCGACGTCACGCACCCAGCTGCCAAGGTGAGGAACTGTGCCATGTGTGGCTTTAAGGGCAAGGAGTGTGGGTGGAGTGGAGGTGTGATAGGGAGGGACTCCCTACTGCTGCAGTGCTGCAGGAAGTGCTCAGTAGCGCAGATAGGGTTGAGGGTTAGCAGGGTTGAGGGTTTAAGGTTGGGATTGAGAGGTGTGAGCGTTGAGGCCCTGGAATTCACTTAAACCACGTGACGGTCAGGAAGTGGGCGTCAAGGCACCCACTGGACTCTCCTTAGCGGCATCCACTCCACAGCCGTCGACCTTCCTGCCTGCCCTGCTCCGCCTTGCTCCCTGCTACTTGCTCTTTGCGCTTTGCATCACCTCCTCATGCCCGCATCACCTCCTCATACTCGTATGTTTTCCTCATGGCGCCGGGCTTGCGTGCGCGGACATGCACCTGATGCTCTCTGTGCCTCTGCTGCTGCTTGCCATGCCCTCTTGCTGCTGCCCTGTGCATGCGTGTCATGTCACGGGTGCGCGTGGCAGTCAATGATCGAGTTGAGTCGCACACAGGACGAGGAGGTGGGCGACGGCACCACCTCCGTCATCATCCTCGGTGGGTTCCCCTCCCCTCCCATCCCCTCCCCTCCCCTCTTTTACCCTCCCCTCCTCTCCCCTCCCCTCCTCTCTCCTCCCCTCCGCTTCCTCTCCTCTCTCCTCCCCCCTAACGAGATGCATCTCTTCCCACGCATCAACCACTCGGTGCGTTTCCCTCGCCAGACACATTCCCTCCCCTCCCTGCGCCTTACCCGTGCTATTCACTTCACTTCACTCTGCAAGCCCGCTCAGCCGCCCCAGACTTGCCCGCTCTCCTCACCTATCCACTCTTTCCTTCCCTCCGTTTCTTTGATGCCCCGCATGCCACGTGTCACCACTGTGTGCTGCCAGCTGGCGAGATGCTCCACGTGGCAGAGCCCTTCTTGGAGAAAGGCTTTCACCCCACCGTCATCTGCAGAGGTGCGCTCTCAGGGGCCAGCCATTGTGATTGATTCCTGTGGGTCAGGGCGCGCCCAGTGGTCAGGGCGCGCCCAGTGGTCAGGGCGCGCCCAGTGGTCAGGGCGCGCTCAGTGGTCAGGGCGCGCTCAGTGGTCAGGGCGCGCTCAGTGGTGAGGGCGCGCTCAGTGGTGAGGTCAAGGTCGCGGGCACAGCTTTACAAGATGATGATTTTCTTTCTTCATTCTTACACTCTCCACCACCATCTCAACTCCACGCCCTCTCCTCATCTCTCCACTTTTGCCTTTCCCATCTTCCGCCCCCTCTCCCCCGATTCACCTACCATCGTGCCCACCAGCGTACACCAAGGCGCTGGATGATGCCATAGCGGTGATCGACAAGGTCCCCCCCTCCCTGTCCGCTTGATTACCACATCACCCAATCACGCCCGGTTCCCCAATGCCCCCATGTGCCCACCAGCGTACACCAAGGCGTTGGACGATGCGATAGCGGTGATTGACAAGGTGGCATTCAAGATCGACGTCAACAACAGTGAGACAAGACTGCCCTCCTCTCCCCTTCCTCCCTGCGTCCTGCACACCTCTCTCTCATCGCTCGCCTTTCTGACTTGCCTCTCCCGCTCTGCCTGCTCGTGCCTCTCACCTCACCCTTGTTTTGCACGATCACTCTTGCCCTCTATTGCCTCCATGCCTTTATGCGTTCCTTCACCTGCCACACTCTGTTGCCTACCCAACTCCTCCATATATACCCCGTCCGCTTGTGTGCCGTCTGTGGTGACCTGTGCGTTCCCGTGCTTCGCCATGCCTCGCTCCGCACAGGGAAGCAGATGCTGAGCATACTGCAGAGCTGCATTGGCACCAACCAAGTTCACCACCTGTCCCATTCATTCATCCCCGTCCCCTTGTCCCCCATCTGTGCGTCCCTGTCCTCCCCTGTGTTTTCCCGTGCGTCACCATTTCTCGCCCGTCACAGGGAAGCAGATGCTGAGCATACTGCAGAGCTGCATTGGCACCAAGTTCACCACCCGCTTTGGCTCCCTCATGGCTGTACGTCCCGCTCACGGCTATGCGTCCTCTTAGAGTACAGCATATGATGCTATAGTCGCCGCTCCTCGTCCTTTCCTCATTGCTCACAGTGTGTGCTTTTGTTTTCCTAGACGCCTTGGAAATCTGGCCCTTTTATTTCCTCTCCTCACTTGGCCGATAGCACTTGCTGCTCAATCCCTGCCCTTTCTCACACCCCCCTCCTCCACTTTCCCTTCCCCTCCCTGCCCCGCCCACTTTCCTTCCCCCACTCGTCGTCGCCATCACCCCCTTGCTGTTCCCAGGACCTGGCCCTGGACGCGGTGACAAACAGTGGTGGCGGTGGAGGGGGGAGGCTATTGCTAGCTGCCTGCTAAATATCGTCCCTCCCCCAACTTGCCTTGGCCTTCCTGTCCCCTCTCCGTTCTTCCACCCCTCTCCCTCTTACCCAGGAGCTAGCCCTGGATGCGGTGACAACAGTGGCGGTGGAGGTGGGCGGGCGCAAGGAGATTGACATCAAGCAGTACGCCAAGGTGGAGAAGAGAAGCTGCTGGGCTGCTCACCACATGGCCCCACCATCCCTCCCCATCCCCACGTGCCCTTTCCCCCATCCCCTTCCCCACCTGGGCTTGTCCTCTCCACCCCTGCTCTCTCCAGGAACTAGCGCTAGATGCGGTGACAACAGTGGCGGTGGAGGTGGGCGGGCGCAAGGAGATTGACATCAAGCAGTACGCCAAGGTGGAGAAGGTGCCGGGCGGTCGGATAGAGGACAGCGCGGTGCTGCGCGGTGTGATGTTCAACAAGGACGTGGTGGCCCCTGGCAAGATGCGGCGGCGCATTGAGAACCCGCGGGTGGTGCTGCTGGACTCGCCGCTGGAGTACAAGAAGGGCGAGAACCAGACGAATGTTGAACTCTTGAAGGAGGAGGACTGGTGAGTGAAAGGGGAGGTGGGGCAGCAACATGAGTTCCCGCAGGTGGTGCTGCTGGACTCTCCTCTGGAGTACAAGAAGGGCGAGAACCAGACCAACGTGGAGCTGCTCAAAGAGGACTGGTGAGTGGCACGAGGGAAGGGGCCAAGGGAAAGAGGGAGAGGGTAGGGTTGGAGGGGCAGCAACAAGTGGTGCTGCTGGACTCGCCTCTGGAGTACAAGAAGGGCGACAACCAGACGAATGTTGAACTCTTGAAGGAGGAGGACTGGTGAGTGAAAGAGGATGGGGTGGAGGGGAGGGGGGGCAGCTACATGAGAACCTGCGCGTGGTGCTGCTGGACTCGCCCCTGGAGCACAAGAAAGGGGAGAACCAGACGCACGTGGAGCTGCTGAAAGAAGAGGTCTGGTGAGCGGGCAGGAAGGGGGTGGTGGGGGAGAGGGAGAGGGTGGGGAGAGGAGGGGTGGTCCAGCATCAGTTAGTCGTGCTGCTGGACTCGCCCCTGGAGTACAAGAAGGGCGAGAACCAGACGAACGTGGAGCTGCTGAAAGAAGAGGACTGGTGAGTGGGCAGGAAAGGAGGGAGCGAGAGGGAGGAGATAGCGGGCTTGTATCGCCACCTCCTCTCCCACACGCCCTTACTGCCCCTCTTGTCGCTTGTGCTTGCCTTGCCCTCTATACCATCTCTTTTCATGTGCCAGGGAGCAGTTGTTGAAGATGGAGGAGGAGTACATAGCAGGCCTGTGTCGCCACCTCCTCTCCCACACGCCCTCACTGCCCCTCGTGTGCTCTGTACTTGCCCTCTCTACCACCGCTTTTCCACATGGCAGGGAGCAGCTGTTGAAGATGGAGGAGGAGTACATAGCGGGTCTGTGTCGCCACATAGCAGCATTCAAGCCCGACCTCGTCATCACGGAGAAGGGCCTCAGCGACCTTGCAGCACACTACCTCTCCAAGTAGGTGCCTTGCTCCTTGCTCTTGCAGCACACTACCTCTCCAAGTCAGTGCTCTAGCTATCACTTCACCTGTAGCTTCACTTACACTCCTGAACCCCAAGCCCGCGTATCCCGTCGTGGCCTTCAAGCCCGACCTCGTCATTACGGTGAAGGGCCTCAGCGACCTTGCCGCGCACTACCTCTCCAAGTCAGTGCTTTGCTCTGCTCTGCTTCCACTCTTGATCTTGAATCTTCTCTCTCCATTGCCGCTGCTGCTGCCGGGGTCTCTGGCAGCGCTGGTTATTCCATCCCACGTCCCTCTCTCCTGTCTCGTCTTTCCATCTCTCGCCTTCTGTTTTCAAACGTTACCTACCTTCCCCTCCCCCCTCTCCCTCATCCCCCTTCCCCTCTCAAACAGAGCGGGCATCACAGCCATTCGTCGGCTACGCAACACCGAGTGGAGGAGCTGCAGGAGAGCCACGTGGGGACAGGCGCAGGGCTGTTTGAATTCAAATGGCACCCGTGCTTGTCTGCTCCTCCTCCCCTGCTCCATCCCTCCTCCCCTGCTCCATCCCTCCTCCAACCCTCACCTTATGGCGTCCAAACAAAAGTCGCCTTCCTAATTCCCCCTCTCCCCCATCCCCCCTTTTCCCCACCCAGAGCGGGCATCGCAGCCATCAGGAGGCTGCGCAAGACCGATAACAACCGCATAGCTCGTGCGGTGGGCGCGACGATTGTGAACCGGGTGGAGGAGCTGCAGGAGAGCGACGTGGGGACGGGCGCGGGGCTGTTTGAGGTGCGCAAGATGGGCACCCGTGCTCCTCTGTTTCCCCCTTTCTCCAACACCTACCTTTCCCTCCCGCTTCCCTCCACTCCACCCAGAGCCGGCATCGCAGCCATCAGGAGGCTCCGTAAAACTGACAACAACCGCATCGCCCGTGCAGTGGGGGCTACAATTGTGAACCGAGTGGAGGAGCTGCAGGAGAGCGACGTGGGGACGGGCGCGGGGTTGTTTGAGGTGCGCAAGATCGGCGACGAGTTCTTCGCGTTCCTCGTGGAGTGCAAAGAGCCCAAGGCGTGCACTGTGCTGCTGCGCGGGGCCAGCAAGGATATCCTGAATGAGATGGAAAGAAACCTGCAGGTGAGGGATCTGCCGGTGAGGAGGTGTGGGAATGGGTGGAGTGGGGTGAAGGGAATGCAGTTGTTGCAAGGGAAGGGAAGGTGCAAGCAGCCCAAGGCGTGCCCCGTGCTGCTCTGGGGGGCGAGCCGTGGAGGGGCCCGTGCCGTGGAGGGGCAGTCCACCAAAGGGGCACCTTTTGTGTGCGTGCATACACCGCCACACACCGCCACACAGCAGCACACCTCACCACACCACACCACACCACACCACGTCCTGCTCACTCTCCTCTCCCCCCTCCTCACCCTCCAGGACGCCATGGGAGTGGCGCGCAATGTGGTGGTGGAGTGGACCCTCGCCTTGTACCAGGGGGCGGTGGTGGTACCTGTTTATGTGCCTGTGCTGCACACACCACACGTCATCACACCATGTTCCCATTCGTTGCCTCTGCCCATCCCTACCCCTCAGGACGCCATGGGAGTGGCGCGCAATGTGGTGGTGGACCCTCGCCTTGTGCCAAGGGAGAAGGGGGAGGGGGACTCCTGCACACCACACACCACCACATTTCACCGCCACACCATCTCCCTCTCCTTCTCTTCCCCACCCCCCAGGACGCCATGGGAGTGGCGCGCAATGTGGTGGTGGACCCTCGCCTCGTGCCGGGAGGTGGTGCCGTGGAGATGACTGTGTCGGCTGCTCTCAAGGACAAGGCCGGCACTGTGGCAGGCATTGAGCAGGTGCGTGGATAGTGCCGGCTAGGCTAGCCAGGCATTTATACTCCGTGGCAGGCATTGAGCAGGTGAGAGGGCATTGAGCAGGTGAGAGGGCATTGAGCAGGTGAGAGGGCATTGAGCAGGTGAGAGGGCATTGAGCAGGTGAGAGGGCATTGAGCAGGTGAGAGGGCATTGAGCAGGTGAGAGGGCATTGAGCAGGTGAGAGGGCATTGAGCAGGTGAGAGGGCATTGAGCAGGTGAGAGGGCATTGAGCAGGTGAGAGGGCATTGAGCAGGTGAGAGGGCATTGAGCAGGTGAGAGGGCATTGAGCAGGTGAGAGGGCATTGAGCAGGTGAGAGGGCATTGAGAGGGCATGACGGTGAGCTGGCAGTGAAGATGACCTGATGAGCGTGAAGATGACCTGATGAGCGTGCCGTGCCGGCCACCCTCAAGGACAAGGCTGGCTGTCACCATGCATGCAGAGATGACTTTTGAGTCGACTCAAAAGGCTGGCTGTCACCACGCATGCAGGACATCGAAGCATGTGGGCACTTGGAGGAACGAAGCATCGTCCAAGCATTCACTCAAACAAGCCATCAACGCTGCCTCTACTGCCGTTTTCTCGTTCTCATTTTGCCCCCCCTCATCGCCCCCCTCTGCTTCCCGCCTCTGCTCCCCTCTCGTCTCCCCCCCTTCCCCCCTTCCCCCCTCTGCTCCCCCCTCTGCTCCCCCCTCTTCTCCCCCCTTCAGTGGCCATACCGGGCGGTGGCATCGGCCTTTGAGGTCATCCCGCGCACACTGGCGCAGAACTGTGGAGTGAGCGTCATTCGCACCGTCACTGCTCTGCAGGCCAAGGTGGGCGGCAGGGCGAGGTGGGTGGCAGGGCAAGGTGGGCGGCAGGGCGAGGTGGGCGACAGGGCAAGTTGGGCGTCAGGGCAAGGTGGGCGGCAGGGCGAGGTGGGCGGCAGGGCAAGGTGGGCGGCAGGGCAAGGTGGGCGGCAGGGCAAGGTGGGCGGCTGGGCAAGGTGGGCGGCAGGGCAAGGTGGGCGGCAGGCCAAGGTGGGCGGCAGGGCAAGGTGGGCGGCAGAGCAAGGTGGGCGGCAGGGCAAGGTGGGCGGCAGGGCAAGGTGGGCGGCAGGGCAAGGTGGGCGGCAGGGCAAGGCTTAGTTGGAGTATACGCTCTGAACATTTTGCGTATTGCGTTTATACGCGCTAAAAAAACGACCGCTGCGTTTTTGGTTCGGAAACGCTGAAAAACGCTCGGGCAGACCGGGAAAAAAAAATCAAAATTTGAGTTTCGTTTAGCGACATGGCGATTCAAGTGTGGGGTTTCGCACGTCGCGAGTGCAACCCCGAATTCGAAATTTGAAACCGAGTCGCACCAAACCCACCCTTTACCATTGCAAACCCCCTTGTACCCCGTTCACTTCCAACCTCTTCAAATACAATGTTGAGGTGAGTCCCCCTCAACCCACCCACCATTCCTACCATAAATGTCGTGTCTGCCCTATGTTTTGGGTCTAGTGGTGTAGGCAAAATGTTGTGTGCATGTAACCTGCCCTATAATAAAAAGGGGAAGGGAGGTGATCGTGCCTTGCACCACCCCCTTCCCCACATCTTAACCCAAAAAAATTCACCTGCCCGAAACTTTTTTTACCCCTGCCCGGCCCTGCGTTTTCACTGCGTATTAGACCCCTCCAAAGCTGCGTACTGCGTTTATACGCTAGCGTTTATATGCTAGCGTATAAAACGCGAAACGCGTATACTCCAACTAAGGGGCAAGGTGGGCGGCAGGGCAAGGTGGGCGGCAGGGCAAGGTGGGCGGCAGGGCAAGGTGGGCGGCAGGGCAAGGTGGGGCTGCTTGCCTCATGAGCAGCGCCTGTGAGACTGGCGTCGTCATTGTGCTTGCCATGCACCACCATGCCCCACCACGTGCCTGTGAGACTGGCACCACCATGCCCCACCACGTGCCTGTGAGACTGGCACTGTGACACTCCTCCACCACCCATCCCACCACCTCCCCTTCCCACCCCACCCCAAAAGCACGTGCACGATGCCAACACGTCGATAGGCATTGATGGTGACACGGGTGTCCTCACACGCACGCATTCACAGGCACACGTGCCTCATGTCTCCATTCCACCCGTCCGCCCCTCATCCCTCCCTCCCTCCCCCCCCAACAGCATGCCCAAGGCGCCAACACGTCCATAGGCATTGACGGTGACACGGGTGCCCTCACAGACATGAAGGAGCTTGGGGTGAGTGGTGGGGAATGGTGCTGTGGGGGTGGTTTGTGGGGAGGGCTGAGAGAGAGGGCTGAGTGACAGTGCTGTGGGGGGGGCTGGGGGGGAGGGCATTGGCGGTGATACGGGTGCGCTCACTGACATGAAGGAGCTCGGGGTGAATGGTGGAGGAGGGAGGTGGGGGAGAGAGGTGGGGGAAAGAGGTGGGGGAGAGAGGTGGGGGAGAGAGGTGGGGGAGAGAGGTGGGGGAGAGAGGTGGGGGAGAGCAAAAGCGCAAGAGGAGGTGGTGTGGCATGCATGCCTCTGCATGTTTCCCCGTGATGGTGCGCTGCACAGTTTCCTCTTCTCCTCACGCCCCTTCCTCCTCTCCTCACGCCCCTTCCTCCTCTCCTCACGCCCATTCCTCCTCTCTTCACACCCCTTCCTCGTCTTCTCACACCTCTTCCTCGCTCCACTCTGCCACCCGCTGCCTTCCTGCCAGGTGTGGGAGACGTATGCAGTGAAGGTGCAGACAGTAAATACGGCCATCGAGGCGGCGTGCATGCTGCTGTCCCGTCCATGCATTCCCCTCATCCCCCCCTTGCTCCTCCCCACTCCCCCGGCTGCCAGGTGTGGGAGCCGTAGGCCGTGAAGGTGCAGACGGTGAAGACAGCCATCGAGGCTCTGTGCCCCACCTGCTCCACCCCTCAATTCATTCCCCTCATCACACTTCCCCTCAACCTGCCAGGTGTGGGAGCCGTATGCAGTGAAGGTGCAGACGGTGAAGACGGCCATAGAGGCGGCGTGCATGGTGCTGCGCATCGATGACATCGTCAGCGGGCTCAAGAAGAAGCAGGCGGGCGGCATGTGTGCGGTTTAGCCTTTTACACCCTCCACTCATCCCCGTGGCTCCCTTCCTCCCTGCCTCGCGGCCTCCTTGCCCCCTCACCTCCCTGCCCCCCTGCCTGCCTGCCTCTGTGCCTGGCTGCCAGGTGTGGGAGCCGTATGCAGTGAAGGTGCAGACGGTGAAAACAGCGATCGAGGCGGCGTGCATGCTGCTGCGCATCGATGACATCGTCAGTGGGCTCAAGAAGAAGCAGGCGGGCGGCGCACCGGGAGGGGGCAAGCCACAGCTCGACACCGGGGATGACGTTGACTCGGAGCAGATGCTGGCCGAGTGAGGGACGAGGCGGTGTGTTGCGGTGCTGTGCGGTAGTGATCTGTAGAGAGTGTTGAGTAAAAGTTGTCTAGCAGCATGTGCTGTACCATATTTTCCGGTGCATAACACCCCTCCCCCCCCCACTTGAACACTTTTGAGTGACAGATGCAAACCAGAGAACGCTATAAAAAAAAAATACTGAGAAACAACTACCATACCATAAATCCTCAACCTCTTTATGATCTTGTAAAGTACCAACCTTTTTTTTTAATGCCTGAAATTACAATGTATCCCCTCATTTTGCTTCTAGTACGCGTTCCGAGCGATCACTTGACTTCCACGCTGACAATAAATCAATTCCGCAAGTCCAATTCTCTTATCGTGCGCGAGCACGCTTCTAGAATCACTACTAGAGGCGGAAAGCCTTTTCACGTGGCGGCAACACATCGCGGAGTTCGATCCTGCCTCGTCCAATTAAAACGGCAACACGTTCGCATAGCCGTCTCGCCCATCCCTCCCTGCCGAGTTCCTCCCGTAATCGCCGCCGCCTCGTCCATCCATTCCGCGTAACCCGGGTGGGGTTCCTTCCGCCTCCTGGCCGTGATGACTAAAATCACCCCGTACTGTCTCCTACGCTGCAACCCGAACGCGGTCGCGCAATGCACATTTTCGAGCTCCGGCGTTGCGATGATCCCCCTTCCTCCCTGGCACCCCCTGCTTCTGCGCGTCCTGCGGCGCCTCCCTTCGTGTTCCCCTTCTCTTTTTCCGCGACGAAACGCGTTCCATGATGCGCGGCGTGTCCGCAAGATTAACTTTATTTCTAAGGATACCAATAAATCAAACGGAGCGATTGACCGCTCACTCTCACCACATAAATCCACGCCCGCTTCCAAAGCAGTAATCACATTCTCACACTCCGCTGCTCGCCCTTTGCGCGTCTCTCCGTCTCGTCTCCTCCCTTCCGAGTCGCCGTGCCACCTTCGACTTCCCACCCAATTTCGCCTCGTCACGACTACGAGCGATCGACTGTCTCCATCATCTGCTCGTCACTTTCTAACGCAGAGAATCGACCCAAAAGCGACTGTCCTTGAAGCCTTCTCGGCATCGACGCGAGCGATCTGCTGTCGCAATCTCCTTGGTTCCTCCGGGCCGGCTCGTCTCCTTTCGTGATCATGGACCGGCGCTTCGGGCGGCTGTACGGGCTTGGCGCCGCCGCACTCCTCGTTGCCATCAGCTTCCTCGCGACCCACCCCAGCGCCGCTGTTGAAATCGGTGAGTAGGCTGACTGCCACATACCCAACTGATTCTCACTCTTGCATCCCACACTCTTGCATCCCACACTCTTGCATCCCACACTCTTGCTTCCCACGCTCTTGCTTCCCACCCTCTTGCTTCCCATCCTGGAGAGCTATGGCACCCCCAAGTGCCAGCGCCTGGGAACTCTTCGCTCTTGAAAGCTGAGGCTGAAAGCTGACAAGTGATGCCCCCAGTGAGTGTGAGGGCAACGATATATATATATTAAAAAAAGAAAACCATCTCTCTTGTGACCCCTTTTGATACTGTACCTTGAAACAACCCTTGATTCCCTGTGCAGGCGTGTGTGTTAACAAGGATTGTGGGAGCGATGCTCAGTGCGTTGTGAGTGCCGATGGCACTGCTGGTGTGTGTGTCAGTGCTTGGATGGTTCTACCTTCAATGAACTTGACAACACATGCGATGGTGGTGGGAGTGTGGGTGAGCGTTGGGAGTGTGGGTGAGTGCTGGAGTGTGGGTGAGTGGTGGAGTGTGGGTGAGTGCTGGAGTGTGGGTGAGTGGTGGAGTGTGGGTGAGTGCTAGAGTGTGGGTGAGTGGTGGAGTGTGGGTGAGTGCTGGAGTGTGGGTGAGTGGTGGAGTGTGGGTGAGTGCTGGAGTGTGGGTGAGTGCTGGAGTGTGGGTGAGTGGTGGAGTGTGGGTGAGTGCTGGAGTGTGGGTGAGTGCTGGAGTGTGGGTGAGTGCTGGAGTGTGGGTGAATGCTGGAGTGTGCTTCCTCGCGACCCACGCCAGCGCTGTTGATGGTGAGTTCAACTCATCCAAGCCCCTTCCCCTACTTACACCCCGCAACCAGCCATGATCGCCTCTGCAGACCCGTGTGCGGCCCTGGACTGTGGCTCCATGGCTTCCTACTCTCCCAACGCTGCTGGCGATCCTGTGTGCGTGTGCTCCACCGCTGGTTTGATCTTCAGTGACGTTTACAACACGTGCTTTGGTGAGTGCTGCACTCATGAGTGCTTTGGTGAGTGCTGCACTCATGAGTGCTTTGGTGAGTGCTGCACTCATGAGTGCTTTGGTGAGTGCTGCACTCATGAGTGCTTTCGTGAGTGCTGCACTCATGAGTGCTTTGTGAGTGCTGCACTCATGAGTTGTAGACGATTCATTTCTTTAAACAAACACATTTCTGGAGTAAGCACTTGGTCTCCTCACTCCTTCCGCACCTGAGACGCAATACTGAGATTCAATGGAGGCAACGCTGAGAATCAACTCTTGGAGCAAGAAGGTGGAGGCATGTCATTAGATCATTGACCAACGGCTTTCGTCTCCTTACACCCCCCACACCTCCCCTCCTACCTACCCCCTTCCTCATCACACCCCCAACTTGACGCCTTCAAGCCCCCATTCGTGTCGTCAACTGTCTGACCGCTGCTCACGCCCCGTATTCTGGACGACGACGGAGCTACTCGGCTGTGTTCATCTCCTCACTCCTCTCGCACATTCTCCCCTGCCTGCCTCTCTCCTTTCCTGTCCCCTGCCTGTTTCCTGTCCTCCGCTTAGGCCCCCTACTCCGCACGCCGATGGAGCTGCAAGGAAACTCTGGGCGCAAGCGCAAGGCCAAGAAGCAGAGGCGCACCTTCTCCACAGCACCTCCTTTCATCTGCTTTCCCCTGTCCCGCCCTCCCCACAGGCCCCCTACTGCGGACGACGCTGGAGCTGCAGGGCCCCAGCTCTGGGCGCAAGCGCAAGTCCAAGAAGCAGAGGCTCACGTTCTCCACCGATGCGCCGGCAGATGCGATCGGTGGCACCATCGCGTGCACGGACCTGACCTCCAGCATCGGCGGCAACACCAAGGCCACTGTGGTGTGGAGAGTCGCGAAGCTCGCTGGAGCTGAAAACGGCATGTGCCAGAGCCTCACGTTCTACTCCGGCCCCGGCTGCTCGGGCCAGCCGGGCCTGACGATCGCACGCCCTGCAATGAAGGGCCTTGCCTACCCCTGCGATGAAGGGCCTTGCCTACCCCTGCGATGAAGGGCCTTGCCTACCCCTGCGATGAAGGGCCTTGCCTACCCCTGCGATGAAGGGCCTTGCCTACCCCTGCGATGAAGGGCCTTGCCTACCCCTGCGATGAAGGGCCTTGCCTACCCCTGCGATGAAGGGCCTTGCCTACCCCTGCGATGAAGGGCCTTGCCTACCCCTGCGATGAAGGGCCTTGCCTACCCCTGCGATGAAGGGCCTTGCCTACCCCTGCGATGAAGGGCCTTGCCTACCCCTGCGATGAAGGGCCTTGCCTACCCCTGCGATGAAGGGCCTTGCCTACCCCTGCGATGAAGGGCCTTGCCTACCCCTGCGATGAAGGGCCTTGCCTACCCCTGCGATGAAGGGCCTTGCCTACCCCTGCGATGAAGGGCCTTGCCTACCCCTGCGATGAAGGGCCTTGCCTACCCCTGCGATGAAGGGCCTTGCCTACCCCTGCGATGAAGGGCCTTGCCTACCCCTGCGATGAAGGGCCTTGCCTACCCCTGCGATGAAGGGCCTTGACTACCCCGTCACGAAAGGGTGTGTGAGCATGGTGCATGGCATATGTGTGATGCACGGCGGCACATGTGTGATGCACGGCGGCACATGTGTGATGCATGCACGCCATGCGATGTGTGGTTTAGTCCTTTCTTCTTCCAACCCATGGGTACAACGCTCATGGATCACCAGAGTAGCGTGAATGAAGTGGCTGTCATAACTGGAGTTTCTCGTCCTCATCTGTGCTATTCCCTATCCTTCCCTATCATTACCTCTCCCACTCTCAGGACTCTAAAAAAGGCATCCCAATTGCCGAAATCAGTTGGCTGCCGGATCGGTAAGTGTGGGTGCACCACACGTAAGGGAGAGGGATAAATGCATGCTCTGAAGTATGGGTGCAGACGTAAGGGAGAGGGATGAATGCATGCTCTGAAGTATGGGTGCAGACGTAAGGGTGATTTGTGCCTTGCTCTCTTCCAACAGGTGCCTCTAGCTCACATGCAGCTATAAAAAAGCCCACATGCACCCTTGAAAAGCCCACATGCACCCTTGAAAAGCCCACATGCACCCATGGAAAGCCCACATGCACCCATGAACAGCCCACATGTCAGTGACACATCTTCCTCTATCAACTTCTGTTGCATCTCACTTCTTTTTATGTGTCCTTCCCTCCATTTGACCCTTCCCTCTGCAACTATAGCTTGCTTGCATCCGCTCGAAAGAAGCTGGTGAACAAGCACAGAACGGGCGGCCCTACTTGGATGGGGGGGTGGGGGGCAAGGAGGCGCAAGCTGGCAGCACCAGAGCGACGTCATATCGGCGGGGGCTGATGGAGCAGAGGTTTGAGCAACTGCATTCGGTTGCTCGGGGGCTTAGAACCAACTTGGCTGACGGCTGACTGGATCGTTTCGTGCGTGTATAAGGAATGTTCTTGCATGCTTGCTGGTCTGTCTGTTGTACCATGGATTGCTAATTCTGTTTCTTCATATAGATTGCTAGTTTTCGGAGCTTTGTGTGCTACCCTGTATTTCTATCTCTCTTTGTTTGTCATTTGTACTTGGCGACTGCTAACCTGTTTCGTTGTGAACCATAGCTGGACATCCACTTTAAGCACCTACATAGACCACCCCCACATCATGGAACCTAGGGTCTTCTACAGGGGCTTAGGCACATCATGGAGAACATCGGTACCATATGGCCCCGGATATAAGCGCAGGCCTACTAAAAGCGCATGCGCTTGTATCTGGAGCAATGCGCTTATGGCCGATCCTCAATTATAAGCGCACCCCTTATAAAACCCTGATATATTATAAGCGCATGTGTAATTTTATTTATAGTTCTTCATTAAAACGGTAACGAATCTCAGTTTTGCAGCGAGGCCACAACCCATTTTCGCTTACATTGACTTTCGAAGACCTCTCACATCCTGCGCGACCAGTCAACACGAGCTGGCACGCCCTCAAAGTGAGGAGTTACACTGTATTTTGCCTCAGGGGGCTCGCAAACAGTCGCCCGCGCGCGATTTTGACATGTGACTTTCTACAATTTCGATTCGATTGAAATCTGAAGGATGAGATGTACAATTTGGTGCATTGAAATATATATTTGTATTTGTTATATTATAAGCACATGCGCTTATAATTTTTACTCAATTATAAGAGCACCCCCCAAAAAAACACTGTTTTATTATAAGCGCAGGTGCGCTTATATCCAGGGTAATACGGTATGTGTATTTCTTTGTGTCTCCACACATCTCAATTGGTGATGGCCATAGCGTCTGAGAAAACTGAAACGAGAATGAATGAACTATGAAAGGAGTGGGTACAAGTACTAACCCTAATTGGGTTGTACCCCCTATGGGATACCCCACTACAGCCTACACAAATGTATAAGCTATATAATGTTCCGACACACCCCCATAGGCAAAGTGGGGGACAACAAGGGGTCACAAGACCAGTCAAGCAAAGCAAAACAAAGCAAACTCATGGTGGATCTCAAAGTCACCAAACATTCTGAGCACAAGGTCAAGGCCACAAGGCCAGTTTACATGCAAGAGTACACATATATATAAAGCTAGACAAGCAAGAGCAAGTATATATACATGTAACAGTACAAGCAAGGTCAAGAAGTGAGCAAGTGAGGCAAGACAAGCACAAGACCCAGCTGAGTGCAGAAGCGCTGATGATCACAAGGCGCAAGTGCCTTGGTGAAGACATCAGCAGTGTTGGCCTCAGAGGCCACGTACGCAAGCCGCAACTGACCACGCTGCTGTAGCTCACGAGCAAGGAAGTAGCGGAGAGCAATCTGCTTTGTTCTGTGCTCCAGTCTCTGCTCTCGACACAAGGCCAGCATGGCCTTGTTGTCTACGTACAAAACTAGAGGAGAACGAGGCGGCTCTCCGAGGTCAGTCAGCAGGTAGGTGAGCCAGCGAAGTTCCTGTGCAGCCATGGCCCCTGCGTGGATCTCGACCTCACAATTGGAGCCGAGAACAGAAGACGAGCGAGTAGCCCGCCACGAAACAGAGCCGGAACCAAGGCTGAAGGTGTAATCCTGTGACGACCGCTGCGTAGCCTGGTCGTCAGCCCAAGTAGCGTACGCGTGCCCAGTGAGGACCACTGGACTCCGCCCTCCAAGCACTAGCCCCATGCCCGACGTACTGCACAAGTAGCGCAACACCCTCTTCGCTGCAGCCATGTGCTCTGGTCGGTGTCTCCCAGGAGCAACATAGCGTGCGAGAATGCTAAGAGGGTATGCAAGGTCAGGTCGTGTGCAGGTCATCAGGCACATGAGGCAGCCAACAAGCTCTGGATACGGGCCACTCGACTCTACGGACTCATCCGAAGGCAGAGCTGAGAGTGAGTGGCGAGTAGGCAGAGGAGTGGCCTGATGCGAGGAGTACGTGAAGCCGAAGCGCTGAAGGACCTGCTGCACCATGTGTGACTGAGTCAGGGTAATGGTGCGGCGTGCTCTGTCCCGGGTGATCTGCAAGCCAAGGTAGTTGCGCAGTTCACCCAGGTCTGTGCACGTGTGTCTCTTCTACAACTCGGACTTCACGTAGGCGAGTCCAGCAGTCTCAGCTGTGGCAAAGACCAAGTCGTCGACGTACACGAGGATGTAGAACGGCGGCAGAGAGGTGTCGGTGCGCAAAAACAGCGACGGGTCGGCAGTAGAAGGAGCAAACCCAAGAGCCGCAAGCGTAGTCCTCAGTGTGTCGTGCCACTCACGGGGCGCCTGGCGGAGACCGTAGACTGGACGCCGAAGACACCACTGGGTACCAGGAGGGAATGACACAGTGAAGCCAGGTGGGCGGCGCAGCCAGATCTCCTCGTGCAGGCTGCCCTGCAAGAAAGTAGTGCTGAAGTCGAGAGAGTGCATCTCGTAGTCACGGTGAGCAGCAAAGTGCAGCAGTACTCGAAGAGTGGTCATCTTCGGGGTGGGAGAGAGGGTCTGAAAGTAGTCAACTCCTTGCCGCTGAGTGAAGCCACGAGCCACGTAACGTGCCTTGAAGACAGGCGGAGAACCCGGCGGTCGCTTCACCCTGAAGATCCACATGCCACTGAAGATGTTCGCCCCAGGTGGGGGAACCTCGTCAATGTAGGTGCCTGTGGACTTCCAGCAAGCCATCTCTGTGTCCCTAGCTGCCTGCCACTGAGAAGAGTAGGGACCCTCTATCGCTCTGCGTAAGAGCGCGGAGTCGGGATGTTAAGTGCATCCGGGTCTCCCTCAGGGGTAAGCAGTACGGACACGAGATGCGGTGAAGCAGCAGCCAGACAGTGGAACTCCTCCTGCCTGTCCTCAAGGACATCCGTGCCAAGGGCACATTCACCCCTACGGACGGAGGACAGACACACACAGACTCAGCGACAAGACTAGCAGCGTAGTCTAGGCGACAGCGAGCAGCAAAGTCGACGAGCTCAGCAACTAGGCCAGACGCAGCAGTGGACTCAAAGGAAGGGTCAGTGACGACAGTAGCAAGGAGACGCGTGACAGTAGGACTAACAGCACGAAGAGAGTCCGACTCGAGGTCGGCAAGAGCAGGAAGAGAGGACTCAGGAGGAGAAGGCAAAGTGGCACGCAGAGGAGCAGTGGACGGACGCAGAGACATTCGGTGTGTTCCAGGTACAGGAGGAGGATGCAGACGCGAACTACGACCACTAGTGCGAGCAGCACGGACAGGCAACGCAAGGCGAGACGCAGGCTCACGACGCTCAGCAAGACCTCCAGTAGGACCAGTGTAGGGAGAAGGAGCAGGCAGAGGGGATTCCGGCTGTACCTGTAACTGTGACGGAACAGGCTGCGGACACTCGAAAGGAGGAGGAGGACCAGTAGAAGGCGGATGACCAAGAACCTGCTGAAGGAGCGGAACAAAGTACGGTCAAGGCCGCGCTGCGACTCCAGACATAGCAGGAACAGCACCAGCCCCCCCAGCAGGAGCACCAGCTCTAGCAGTACCTCCAGCTCCAGTACCTCCAGTAGCACCAGCAGCACCCCCAGCAGGACCGCCAACAGTAGGC